TATGAATGCAGCCTTTATCAGAACTATGTTTTTGTTCAGTTTTTCTATTCATATGGATAAATATTGGTTGGGGTGGTGACTCGGTACCTAATGTGTAGTGCTGCACACAGAACTTACGGTGCCAGAATCAGAACATCCTAATGCTTGCTGCTGATGCAAACATATTAAAGGTACGTTGCAGGAGATCCTTGCACCAGGCGATTAATATCCAAATGTTGTTTGTGTACTCACTCACTCATTACTAAAAGTTTTGAGGGCAAACAAACTTTTTTTCAGTAACAACAGGTTTAAGGTATTTGTGGGAAGATAGTTACCTGGCATCTTACATCTGAAGTAAGGACTGATGTTAAGTTTGTTTTTCTTTTTTTTTAATCTCAGAGAAGACAGAGAGGCACACAGAATCTAATGAGTCAACTAGGACAATGGCTAGCCAGCGGCTAGCCTGGGTTAGGAAGAAAACTAGGTATTTTCTCCAAATACTGCACTGGTATTTTGATACCTTATTTTCACTGATTTGTTCCACTGAGAACCAGCAAGAAAGGAAATCAGTTTGCCTGGCGGCTGCGTAGTTCCTGACTGTATTTATCACTGGTTTGGTTCTGGACTAAAATAAGGTTGGCAGATTTGAATTTGCCTAATATGATGACTGTTTTTAAAATGGATCTGTATATGTTCTATTTAGCACAAAGAAATAAACTTTAGTGGGGAATTCAAAGTAAAATCCTTGAAATCTCAGTTCCTAAGTAACATGCTTAATGAAATAATATGTGGGAACACTCTGGGTCAGAGTTTTTCTCTGCTACCGTTAATGCCAAACAGGTAGTCTGGTCGCTAAAATTATGCTTATGAAGCATATATGAAGTTTCCATAGAGGAAAAAAAAACAACAGTGCTCAGTGACCAGTTGTTGTGTTTATCCACATTTTAAAAGGTACATGTTTTCTTGAGGAAAGGAGAAAATGGCATAGCCTCAGCATAATTTAAAAAAAATTTTTTTTAACCAGTATGGGTTTTGAAATCGTTTAGAACTGATCTTAGTATTTCCCACTTTTGCAGTCAATTCTAACAATGCATTAAACATACCGGATTCTTAAAACAGTAGCGAAACTCTAAAATACTGTTTGAATTAACAAAACAAATGGTTATAATCAGGCATGGGTTTTCTTTTATTGTGACTTTCAAGGTAGGCTTTTGATTTGGGGCTTCTAGTATGTCTTACGTACCTTATCATTCTCAGCATGTTTTAGAATTCCTTACATAACCCTATTTCGGGGAAAAAACATGGATTTGGGAGTATGACTAGTGCTGGAATCCTTGCTTAGGTGTGCGCCCTGTAATCTCTCCAGGCCTCAGAATTCTTAACACTGAAATAGGCAAAAGAGAAGGAGTCCCTACAGGAGATTTCTGCAACTCAAGTTATGAGTCACAGAAAACTCAGTCTCTACAGTATTAGTCATTTATTTGTATCCTACTTTGTTCCCTCCTCCCCCCCAAAAAAGAGGATTTGAACAGTCTTTCATTGAATGAGACTTAAGATACAAGGTAAACTAACTGGATGAAAAAGAAAGGAAACACCAATGTGTGAATCTAATATATGAACCCCAAATACTTAGTAAGGCCAAGCCACAAATTTGGTCCTATAAACAGGAGACCTGTTAGATGAATCATCTGCACAGGAATTACTGTGCAGCCCCAGTTTTCTTCATTATAAGACCAGAAGCTTCTCAACAACCTTAAAAATTATAATAATGATACACTGAGCAACAGGTAGGGTTTATGAAGAGAAGGATATACTCAAGTGCATGTCACGGGTTCTTTGACTCACTATCACAACAGCCAGCAAAATATTTAAGCTTCACTGTTAACAGCTCCCTGCTTTCCTGGAAGTTGAAAAAGGGTGAGAAGCAAAATCTCAGTTATTAAGCTGAGTATATACAGGATTGACAGCTTGTAGAGATGAAAGAATCTAAAAAGACCATAGGTCTGAATAGAAGGCTACACATTTGCTCAGACTGAACAATGGGACTAATAACATAATGTCAGCCTGGAAAAAGGGCACATGCAGAATACCAAACTTTAATGAATGAGAGAATGAAATTTAAGAGATGAACTGAAATGTCCAGCAGTTAAGGTTAAGAGTAAATTAGAAGGCATCTACCAAATGTAATGGCAGTCATCGAATCAATAATTAACAAAGCCGACTATCCATTAAGGCAACTCCCAAACCATGGTAATAAGATCTACCTTCTGCATTAAGCAAGTGTTTTGTCTCTATCTTAACCAAAAGTAGTACAGTGTCTCCAAAAGATACAGACTTGAAAGAAAACATTGACATAGGATTTGTATCCAGAATTCTCAAAGGCTCAGTAAAACAACCCAGTATGGGCAGAAGACTTGGAACAAGACACACCAAAGAAGATAAATGGAGTCTAATAACATGAAAACATGCTCCCTACCATAGATCATTAGGAAAATGTAAAAAGCAAAATAAATACACCTATCAAAACTTTGAATAATACCAAGTTCTACTTAGAATATAAAACAACCGGAACTCTCAAATTGCTGGAGGTATGATGAAATTGTAAGGTCACTTTGGAAAAAGTTTGACAGTTTCTTACAAAGCTAAATACCCTACGACACAGTAATCCCATTCCTAGGTATTTGTCCAAGCGAAATGGAAACGTGTCACACAGAAACCTGTAAGTCAATAGGGCACCTTCATAATCAAAAACTGAAATCAACTCAAGTATCCTTCCAACTGGTGGATGGATGAATGGGTACATCTCTATAGTGGAATACTATTGAGGAATTTTAAAAAATGAAGTACTGAGTGAACAACATGGCCAGATCCTCAGAAGCACTGTATTAAGTGAAAAGCCAGCCTCAAAAGCCTCCATTTATACAGCATTCGAGAAAAGAAGAGTGCAGGGACAGCAGGTGTCAATGGCCTGAGACGGGATGGATGGATGCTGGCTACAAAGGGGCACAAAGGCATTCTGAGAAGTGACAGAACTCATCTAGAGTGCTGGTGATTATGTGACTGTTTGACAAAACTCGAAACTGTACATTTGAAAAAAGTTTTGTCTTTTTAGCTTAACCAAACCTATAAAGGAAAGGGCTTTTTAAAAAAAACCTAGGACATGTCAATCTTTTACCTCACAAGAAATCACACCACGGAACCATTCACTTCCACTGGCCACGCAAGGGCTACATACCCATTAGTCTAGGATGGAGTTGCAAAAGCTAGACTATTGACATTGGTTTGTAGTTAGAACACTGAGCCACGGTGGTAGCTGAGACGTGGGTGTTACCACCTCACCCCATGTTCATTGTCGTAAATTCTGCTTAGGCTCACGGGGCTCTTTATTTTCACTGGAGTGGGTTTTACTGGCACCAACTGGGAGGGCAACTGGATATCAGTCCTGTCTAAATCAGTAAAGGGGTCTGGGTGTCATCACTTCTTGAGTGGAAGACGATTTGATTATTCAGTAGTGGGATGTATTCCCTCTAGGAAGAAAAAGGTAAATTCATCCCGACTCATCAAGGTAGGGAGCCGAAATGCTCCAACTGACGGGTGGACCAGGGGAGGGGTCAGATCCGGTGTGTGAAGAGTATAAACTAGGCTTAAGATGATGACCAAAAGGTTAAGGAAATAAAGCTTCAGGTTTGTCTTGAGTCCTGTCTTTCATATGACAGGAAAGTGAAATTAACCCATCTGTGAAGGTCTAATCTATCCCAACCGCCTGCTGCAAGCCCTAACCAGAGGACCTAGTGGGGCACAACACACTCACTCTTTAGCCAATTTTTCTTTGGCTCAGAATACTGGAAGAGCCCTGGCTGCTCCAGACTAGAGATCCTCCCTGGTCCTTTCCAGAGGGAAATGGGCTATCTTTTGTAGAAGTAAGCTGGAAAAGGCTGGTGTAAAGTGATTCCAGGGACTTTGCTGGAATAATTCTCATGGATGTTTCTCAGGAAGTTATCACCGGCTCCTCACTAAGGCAAAGGTATCATGTAGAGAACCCTTCCCTTTGTGTGACTTTCCCCATCAGTCCCTTCTGATTCATGGCATGCTGATGAAGCTTCTGCCCGAAATATAATAGCTATACATATTGAATGGAGATTTTTAAAGACCTAAAGTTCTTCTAAAGATCTGATAATTTTCCCATCAAAACAAATTTATGTTCTGCAAGGTGGGGCTTATGGTCCTATGTCAACTGAGTTACTCCAGTCCTGGGGTGGGGGTGGGGTGCAGAAAAGATAGAGTAGGGGGAGGGAGGAAAGGGATCCCTCAACTCCTGCACCGGACTATTAGGAAAAACTTGTAAGTTCAAGTTTAAGATCAGAAAAGAACACAAAGAATGGGGGAAAAAAAAACACCCTAACATTTCAAAGAAACAAACACTAAAAAATCTTAAAGAATGTTTCTAAGGATTAAATAAGACCATAAAGTTAGAATAAAACATTTTCACATATCAAAATACTTAAAAAAAAGAAAGAAAAAATCCACAATGAACAAAGCTAAAGACAGATTAGGATAAAATCAAAACCCATGTGCATTGGGTGAAATACATAAAAGTATGCAGGTGATAGGAGTGAAAAAAAATTTCCTAAAGAGCATAACTTACAATAAAAAGATAAGAGAAGAAGGGAGGTAACAAAGCAGAGCAAAACCCAGCAATAATAGCTGTGGCCCTAGATGCAACTGAGGGACAAAGACCCGAAAAAAGTGCTTTTGGTGATAGGAGGGGATGCTTTCTTGGTTCCTCAGGGAGGACACGGAAAGAGGCAGACTGCAGAGATGCTCTGGAAGCTCCTTACACCCAGGCTCATACCCGAGGGTCCTCTGAGCCCCAGGAGCAGGTGCGGCTCCTATGCAAACAGCTCAGTGGGCCTTTTTCCTGCTAGTGAGCACCTTGAGTAGTTCTCCTTTATTGGAATGTCATTTCGTCATACCTGTACACAGTTCAGAAATGAAATTTAGAAGTAAAATGAATAGCAAAATCACTAACAATAATTTATTGTTTTTTTTAAAAATAAATTAACATTTAGAATAGCAAATTCGATTTAATCTAATGTATTAAGAAAAGCATAATATACTTTAGTAAACAAGGATTTTCAACTTACTGTATAACTAAGTAAGAAATGTCAATTAAACACTTGGTTCAGCTAGGGGCCAACATCAGCCACTGCCACCTGATCCCATAAACCCATGCTGTTTCACATTTAAGGGGAAACTCAGCAAAGGGGTTTCCCTGTTCTTCCAATCAGAATGCACTGAAAAGTGACAAGCCCAAGGAAGAAGAGAAGATGCTATGTAGCAGGGTGGAGCTGAAGCCAAAATTTTATTTCTACCACCTTAGGGGAGGTGGAAGGGATGTGCACTGCGTGCCCCAGGTCTACATGGAAGACAGTCTGAACATCAAACAGCCCAGGGTAAGATTTCACTCGTGGCAGATAGGGACCCTGGTCACGTCTGAATTCTTTCTTGAGGTTTGGAAATGTCTCTGGTCATGTACTCATATTTAGGGTTGAGAGAGATGTTAACACTATGTACTGGGCCCTCCTCAGACGCCACAGTTCCTCCTGCCCTAAGATGACTGAAAAGATGGCTCTCCTTTCCTTAGACATACATACTGGCTCAGTGTTAGGAGTAGAGGTAGGGAGGTATGGTCAACTTCAGAAGAGTTGAGTCCACAGTTTATCCCACAATGGATGCATTAGGCTTTTTAGAACCTCAATGAGATTGCCAGTAATAGGCAATCATCTTTTTGTACCAATGAGACATTTCTTGCAAGAATCTCGGGTTTGGCACAAAAGGTTGAAAGCTATTCTGTTGTTCTTGAAGACAAATGCAATTCCTTCTAAGTTACAAATCAGCACTTAGGTCCTATAATTGAGCGTGTCTTCACACCATCCCCTGTTTTTGGCCTCCATATAGACGGATGCATTGCACTGCTGCATGGTATGTTCCATCTCAACCAGTTGGCGGCATCCGATGGTTAACTTTTCCCTAGGGGATAAAGAAATATTAAATCACTGCAAGACAGCTAGTCAGATAAATGAAAAAAATCTTAATACAGCAGGATAACACTGGGATTTGAAATACATTCTTTGACATTTGAGAGAGAAAATATCAAGAGTTACAGTTTCTTAGCCCAGGCCAAACAACATGGGAGGATAAGCACTTGGTAGCACGGATTCTCAGACAGCCAACATGGAGATGATTCAGGTGCAATTCCTAGAATTCAGGAATAAAGGTTCCCGTGGCAGACCTGCTAACAACGAGCCAAGTTGGATGCTTAAAAAGCAGTGCTTTGTATGGTCTCTGAAGGATCTCTCCCAGTGGGAGAAGGGCTGATACTAAGCTGTGTTAGCCCATGGGGAAAGCAACACTGAGGAGCAGATCATTTTTTTTTTTTTTTGTCTTACTCGGTTTGGGAGTTAAAGAACAGGGAGAATGGAGGATACTAAGAGGACACACCTCCTGAAAGGAGCAGACACTGGAGAGAGGATAGAAAGTTGACAGAACTGCATCTCTGAAAGAGAACTGCCCAGAGAGGCAACCCAGCCGTTAACAAATGAGTACCGCTAGTTAATTTCACTAAACCAGAGGCAGGGAAGCACGGAGTAATGCCTGATATTTGCCAGGACCACTCATAATTTTACCTAAGACGAAGCCTGGCTGGACTGTGAAAAGCTGACAGGAGGCCGATGAACTGTGGGGTGTAAGGCATCCCTTAGAGCATCTATAACCAGCATCCAGTGCACTGTCTGGCATGTAAGGTGTTCAAGAATGGCAGTTATTTTTATTATGAAAGGGACACTGACTGTTCTGAGCCATCTCTGCAGTGCTGGGGAGGACGACTAGCTGTCTTTCCTCACTACCCCGCCCCTGCCCTCCGTGGATCCCTTGATGTAGGGTACAAAGGAAGAGTAAGTCATCTGAAACTCAAGGAATGGGATGAGAGCTAGTAGTGGCAGCAAGAGTAAACACACCGTATTTTGACCAGCCTCCCTTCCTAATGATGTGTGGTTTCTCTGGGGTTGATTAAAACCTGTCTTTTGGCTTTGTGTTACTCTAGTCCTGTTTCCTATATTCAGAGTGCTTAAAATCTGTGTTATGTTGTTGCCAGTTCTTCACAACTACTCAGACAATGATTTTCAGAATATCCTTAGAGATCCAAAATCGAAGAGATGTAAAATGTTTTCTTCTAAACTCAAAACTGAGATAAACAAGAAGGGCAGGCCCTATGTCTGTTCTTGTTTTTTTATTCCACATGTAGAAAGAACTCCTTTAGTAACTAGACTTTTAATCTATTTCTGTATCTTTTTTCCCCTTTCTTTTCTTTTCCTCCTCTCAAAGTTGAGAGGTGAGCTCGATCTCTTCTTGTCATCCTAGAAGCATTTGGTTTCTTTATTGTGTGAGTCGCATTCTGACAAGGGATTAACACCTACAGATTTTGCTTCCTGCAGCAAATCGTCATTGCTGGCTGAGGAAAGTCTCAGGTCTTTTTCATTGTGTGTTTGGTCTATACTAGACTATGACGACAGGAATTCTTGAGTTCCTTTTCCCCATGGCTTATGTGTAGAATGGCAGAATACGAGATGTGGGGCGCCTTAACCTTTTCCCGCCATCCTGTAACATCTCCAAGGAATCCTCTCACCTTGGCTTCACCTCTTGATGGTGAGATGAGAGGAAGCCCATTACATATTTTGATATCTCCTAACTGCTAAAACGTTCTTCCATTACACTGGGCCTTACAAAACCCATCTATCTGATCTACCTGCCTAAATTAAAACAAAACAAAAAATAGCCCTTTTTCCTCCATTAGTACAAATATTTTGTGTCTTACAGTGATCCTATTTCTCTTTTCCAAACTAAACAATCCCAACTCCTAGTCCTTTCTGGAGCACAGCTTGGGAGACTGGAGATTGCTTCTAGTTCTATAATTCTATGTTGCTCATGAGATTTCTGCAAAACTGCCACTGTTTCTCTACATTGTCCTATTATGGGTATCAAACTTGCATTGGCCAAGTCTCAGGTCAAAAAAACTGGAAATTTGATCAAGTTATTTAAAAAATAATTCCAGTAGTTATCTGATTCATTTCCATAGCTAATTTTGTCACAATGGCATGGTAGTGTGAATTTAAGTGCCCTAACTCCAATACTTGATACAGTTTTTCCAAAATCCTTTCTAGGCACACACAAAAAAAGCTACAATAGATATTTGTTTTACAACTCTCTGAACATTTCTATACATTTGCAATGTGTATCTCAAAGGAAAAACAGGATACAATGTAGTGCTAATATAAAAAATGGTATGTAATAATTAACATCATACTCAGTGGTAAAGACTGAAAGCTTTCTACCTAAAATCAGGAATAAGACAAAGATGCCCATCTTTACCACTGCTCCTCAACACTGTTCTAGAAGTTCTAGCCAGAGCAATTAGGCATAAAAAGAAAGAAAAAGCATAAAAATTATAAACAAAGATATAAAATTATCTCTACTTACACATCCTAAAGAATCTAGAAAATAACTATGAGGGGCCCCACCCACCAGAGGTCCAGGACCAAGCTTCACCCAACAGACGTCAGGCACTGATGCCTCCTGCCAGGAAACCTGCACAAAAGCCTCTGGTCCAGCCTCATCCACCAGGGGGCAGATACCAGAAATAAGAAAACAACAATCCCAAAGCCTATGGAAGGAATCCACAAACACAGGCCAGACTCTACAATGGGACTGGCAGGACTCTGGCCCTTGAGTGACAATAGAAGAGTCTGCTGCTGGAACACATAGGACGTCACCCACAGCGGGCCACTTCTCCAAGGTCAAGAAACATAACTGAACTACCTAAAAATACAAATAGAAAGACAGACAATATGAGGCAGCAGAGGAATTATTTCTCAGGCCAAGGCACAAGATAAAAATCCCAGAAGAAGAATTAAGTGATGAGGAGATAGGCAATTTATCCAAGAGTTTAAAATAATGATGGTGAAGATGTTTGGAGAACTCAAGAGGCGTATAGATGCACAGAGCAAAGTTTTTAGCAAAGAGTTGGAAAATATAAAGAGGACCCAAACAAAGTTGAAGAATAAAATCACTGAAATGAATAACACACTAGAAGGAACCAAGAATAGACTAAATGAAGCATAAGAACAGATCAGTGAGCTAGAAGACAGATTACTGGAAATCACTACTGCAGAAATAAAAAAAAAGAATGAAAAGAAATGAGGATAGTTTAAGAGAACTCTGGGACAACATGAAGCACACTAATATTCACCTTACAGAGGTCCCAGAAAGAGAAGACAGAGAGAAAGGACCTGAGAAAATTTTTGGAGAGATAATAACTGAAAAAATTCCCCAAGTTGGGAAAGGAAACAGTCACGCAAGTCCAGGAAGAGCAGAGAGTTCCACACAGGATCAACCCAAAGAGGAACACACCAAGGCACATGGTAATCAAACTGGCAAAAATTAAGGATAAGGAGAAAATGTTGAAATTAGCAAGAGAAAAGCAACAAATAACATACAAGGGAACTCCTGTAAGGTTATCAGCTGATTTTTCAGCAGAAACTCTATAGGCCAGAAGAGAATGGCACGGTATATTTAAAATATGAAAAGGAAAAACTTACAACCAAGAATACTCTATCCAGCAAGGCTTTCATTCAGATTTGATTGAGAAATAAAAAGCTTCACAGATAAACAAAAGCTAAAAGAATTCAGCACCACCAAATCAGCTTTACAACAAATGTTAAAGGAACTTATCTAGTTATCAAACCATAAGAAAAGAGAACAAAAAGAAAGAGAAAAAAAGACCTAAAAAGATTGCTTTGACAATTCGGGGTCTTTTATGGTTCCATATAGATTTTGAAATTGTTCGTTCTAGTTCTGTGAAAAATGTCATGAGTATTTTGACAGGGGTTGCACTGGATCTGTGGATTGCTTTCAGTAGTACGGCCATTTTGATAATGTTGATTCTTCCAATCCAAGAGCACAAGATATCTTTCCACTTCTTTGTATCATCTTCATTTCCTTCATCAATGTTTTACAGTTTTCATAGTACATAGTACAGGTAACCTCCTTGGTTAAGTTTATTTGTAGGTATTTTGTTTTTTTGATGCAATGGAGATATTAATGCCAGTTATAAAATTCTGGTTTTTGAAGTGAAAAAAAAGTGAATGAAGGGCCACAAGTGGCAGAATATCCTTCTTTCTTATGGGTGAGTTATATATTTCATTACACATATATGTTGCATCCTCTTTATCCATTTATCTATTGATGTGCACTTGGGATGCTTTCATATGTTGGCAATTATAAATAATGTTGCTGTTAATAGCAGGGTGTATGCATCTTTTTGAATTAATGTTTTATTTTTTTGCCCAGGGTGGAACTGCGGAGCCATATGGTGGTTCTATTTTTAGGTTTTTGAGAAACCTCCATATTGTTTTCCATACTGGTTGCACCAATTTACATTCCCACCAACAGTGTACAAAGATTCCTTTTTCTCCACATCCTTGCCAACATTTGTTATTTGTGTTCTTTTTGCTGATGGCCATTCTGACTGGTGTGAGATGATATCATATTGTGATTTTGATTTGCAGTTCCCTGATATTACTGATGTTGAGCAACTTTTCATATTTCTGTTGGCCATCTGCATTTCCTCTTTTGGAAAAATGTTCAGTTCTTCTGCCCATGTTTTAAATGGGTTGTTTGTTTGCTTGCTTTTTAATTAAAGTACAGTTGATTAAAAATATTGTATTAGTTTCTGGTGTACAGCATGGATGGACTTGGAGGACATTATGCTAAGTGAAATAAGTCAGAAGACAAATACTGTAAGATAACACTTACATGTGGAATCTATAAAAATATAATAAACTAGTGCACAGAATAGAAAAGAAACAGACTCACAGATGTAGAGAAGTAACCAGTGGTTACTAGTGCGGAGAGGGAAGGGGGAGGGGCAGGATGGAGGGGGAGGATTAAGAGCTACAAACCATTAGGTGTAAAAT